GTCGGCTCTTTTGAGCTAGCGGAAGGCAATACCACACACCACTGTTGGATCGAAGTCCATGTGTTTTCCATGGAGTGTCTCTGCTGCTTTTATTAGTGACGTGTAAATGCTAGAAACGATCTGTAGCAGACAGGGAAGAAACCTAGGTACTGATGATTACTTCTGGTGCCCCTGTGTTGTTGCTACCTGACACTCCATTTTCTCTTCTGTAAAGGGTGAGAACAACATCCTTACCCCGCCCACCCATAAGGGATGTTGTGAGGATTAAATGGCCTGCCCGAAGGGACAGTGCTTTGAAAACTACACAGCCAGATAGAGAAAAAAGCCTTTATCATGGTGGTCATTTCATCACTGGTTCTCAACCAGGCCACCATCATTAAGGATGTAAAATGTGTTGCAGCTTTCAAAGATACGGTTTGAGATCTTCTCTAATGCCTATAGTAGACAGTAAACACCCAGAAAAATTGTCCTTGAGAAGTCCAAATTTTTGTTAGTCTTCCCCTGCTCAGAGTAACTATTTTGGAAGAAAAATGATTCTTTTTACCCATTTCTAGCTGCTGTTGGGTTGTCTGAGGGGAGCACTCCCTCGGGTTGTAAAGTGCTTCTTATTTTCAATAGCTGATAAAGGTCCTTTGATTTTTAATTTTGATTTTTCAAGCTGCTTTGCTTTTGGGGCCAGACCAATTCACTAAGTTATTTAGCATAGACCATACTTCTCTGCTCAAGATGGTTTCCTAACAGCGAATTGGATTAAGTATCCCAAATATCCCAAGTTGAAATTCTAAATGTGACTCTTTATAAAATATATACGTTGCATTTTCTGAACTTCTCTTTGGTCTGTAGACAACTTTTCTGCCAAAGCCTATCTTACATCAGACGCTTTGCTCATGTTGATCCCTCTGCCAAGAAAGCTTTTCCCTGATTCTTTGCAAAGTTGACTCCTTTGTACAAAGGACTTGTCTGAACACCTGTTTCAAGTCATGTCCACAATCTATGTCCTTCATAGCACTAATCATAATCTTTTTTTTTAAGTTTATTTTATTTTAAAGATTTTATTTATTTGATGGAGAGAGAAACAGCAAGAGAGGAAACACAAATAAGGGGAGTGGGGGAGGGAGAAGCAGGCTTTCCACTGAGCTGGGAGCCCAATGGGGCTCCATCCCAGGACTCTGGGATCATGATCTGAGCTGAAGGCAGACGCTTAACCAACTGAGACACCCAGGCGGCCCGCACCGATCATAATCTTAATTTCCTTATTTGTTTGCTTCTTCGTCTATATCCCTGATTATAATATCGGCTCCTTGAGGGTGGGACTTTTTGCCTAGTCATGTCCTTATCTACTACCAGCCTAGCATCCAATAACTATCTGCTGAACAAGTGAATTTGCCTGAAAGGCAATGCACCAACGTCGTGGGGCTGTCCATATACAGTTCTCTTGAGGTGAGACCTACTCTGAAGACTCCCTAGGACTTGGCCTGTGGTGTTCAGGGTGACCCACATTTCTCTTAAAAGGTCCAGGAGGAGTCACAGGGACAATACAAGACTGCTAGTTCCCTGCTCCACCTGAGAGAGCTGCCTCAGTGATGTCACACAGGATAGGATTTTCTAATCCTTTTCATTCTGTGACAGAACTTTAAAGACCTAAGTTTCTCGGTACCCTATATGGTTGGGGGTGGGGGGGAAGGATGGAGGGAAGAGGGCCAGGGTGGGGGGCACACCCCCCACCAACAAAATTAATTTGGGGCACTATCCACTGAAATGTACTATTTCAGGAGAAAGTGGGTTATTTGGACTAAGCTAGGAAAAAGTGAGAAGAGAAGAATGGGGAAAAGAAGGACAAAGGGGACTAAGAAAGAACAGAAGAAAGGGAGAAGAGTGATAAGGAGAAAAGAGAGAAGAGGAGGACATATGAAGAGGATATTTGGGAAAAAGACACGTGGAACAGGTAGTGAAGGTGGAGGAGGCAGGCAGAGTTGAAACTCTGTTCTGCTTGGCTCTGTGACTCTTGAGTAGTGACTGACTCAGTGTGAAAGGGTGGACAGCTCAGGTGAGGGGAATTCTCCAGTACTCCCTGGAGGGGTCACTTAAATTGTTGACATTTATTTTGAGAGGCCTAAGCCAGGCTGTCTCAAGGGTGACCCTCCTGGATTGATTCACAATAGCAATTTGGTAACAAGTAATGTAACCTTCACTTTTAACTGTGATTGTCGAGGAAAAGAGGAGAGAGTACTGCTAACCAGATTAAGCTTCAGACTCCTCACCTCAGCCGCCTCCTCACGCCAGGCCTCCCAATTACTAAGCTGATAGCACACAGTTAAATTTAGGACCTGAAAGCCAATCTATAAGAAAATCCTCCTCCTCTTTGGTAATTGAAATGTAAACAGATTTCCAAAGCAGAGCATGATAGTTTTACAATATACCTGTAAGAATTACTAAAATACAATTATGAGAATACGTTCTCACTGAGGTTTCACAGAAATTTACTATGAACAACCCAAATACATGTAGGAGGCCCCCTGTAGTTCAAACAAAAAAAAATTTTAACCCTCTTTTTTCAATGTCCTTTTCTCCTTTCTAAATAGTTGGGTTTTGTCTACAGCATAACATTTTGGGAACATAGTACTTAATATAATAATAAGGAAGGGAATGTTATAATATCAAGCATATTTATTCAGACAATATTGATACCTTCGTCCCAAACTTGAAAATGTTACCTTATAACCCACGAATTTCTTAGTTCATACCAAAATGTCCCCGCAAACTGTATCTAGAAAAGAGAAATAGTAGGAAGGTACAGCCTTATCAGTAGTCTGTGGCACACTGTGCAGCCTCCTTAAAAGTCTCTTTATGCTCTTATTTTCTATCCTTCTGCCTTTTCTGCTATAATTGACCCAGATTCTCTTACAAGTATAGAACAGAGAGACAAAGATATGGAAGCCTAAAGGAAGGAAGCAGAAAGATAAGCTAGTCCTTCTAGTTTTCTATTGTCCTCTACTGTCATTGGCTACCCAGGCTCTGCTTTGGGAATAAGAAAGTTTGCTTTCCAGGGGCACTTCAAATAGTGGTTGCCACATGGGCTTTTTAATTGCACAATTGTAATGAGTCCACCAGCATGCTAATCATGCTGTTACTTGTCTTAAGTATTAAGGATTTCAATACGGCACAGTTTCAAAGATCTTTGATCTAATTTCCCCCATTTTGGCAAGCATAGGGAGAAGTAATTAGGAAATGTGTCCTCAGATGATACTGGGATCAAGTGCATAAATGAATTTTATTTTCACGTTGTATACCTGGAAAAGATCCATCTTCCTCTTACTCTAAGAAATTCTAACACCATAGATATTGGGTAGAGTGATTTTTGGGTTTCTTGAAGAATTGGCCAGCCAGTGACTGTTTGGTGAAACTATTTTATCCTGTTGTCAGATTCCAGGCCTAAATGTGAAAGGAACAGAATCTTCCCAAAAAAGTCATGCAGAAAAAATTGGAGATGGCTTTCACAGCTTCAAAAACAGCTAAGTGCTCGCTGAATGACAGAAAGAATAAACAGATTGCTTTTGATCTAAGAGTTGGGGCAACAAAGTGCTTTTAGGATATACAAAGTAACAGGGTATAAATTGCTACAGTGAGTTCCTGAGATTAAAATAGAGAGGCCTCATCGCAAGTTTACCTCTTTACTGGCCAGAACCCAACTTGACTAATATTTTCAGGTGTTCTTTTTAAATTACTTGCCTCCTACACTGAACTATTTGGGTTTTTCTTTATATATACGCGACCATTTTTTTAAAACACGGATTTTTCTTTTAAATTTCTTTTGCAGCCCGTGCGGTATAGGTCAAATCCGTGAACAGGTTAAGTCTCTGACGAGAGGAAAAGACACTCCAGCCAATGGGAAATCGTGCTGGTGATGTACTGCTCCCAGTTCAGATTCATTGGCCGCCTAGGGTTGTCATTCTATCCCGGCGTCTGCAAACAGCGTGGGTCGGTTTTCTGTAGTCCAGCTAGCTAAACTGGATTTTGGCCGCCTGCATATGCAGTTTCAATTAGGTTCACTTGATTTCTAACTCTTAATAGAAGCAGCTGTTACGTTTCTGATTATTCTCAAGAAAAATCTTGCGTTCCTTAAACCTTGCAGGAGGTCGTTGGAGGGCCCCTGTGACAGAATCACGTGACTAACATGTGCAAATAAATACAATGTGGAATCCCATGAGCTACGAATGGACAACGTGCCAGAAACTCAGAACATGTGCCCCGTGCGTGTATCAGTTGCACTCGCGTATGGGTGGGTGGTGGTAGGGTGTTGCTGCCCTTCGGGACGAGAGGTGTGTGGTAGGGGCACCTGCGTGAAGCTCCCGGGGTCGCTGGCTAGGGTGGCTCCAGAGGCCTGGGGCCCCGGAAGAGAGGGGGTCTGGCGGATGCCTGGTGCAACAGTGCGTTCTAGCCGCGGCAACCGGGCGGCAACTAGGCCGCAGCTGCGTCCGAGAGAGGTCGAAAGCACGGGGCCGGTCCTCCAGGTTCTGAGAACTGCGTCTTTGCAGGGAGTGGGGTGTGTATTTAAGACAAGTGGAAGCGCCGGAGCGGGAGGAGCCGACGCCCTAGGGGGAGCTCCCGAGTCCCGGCTCGACAGACTGCGGGGTTTGGAGAAGCTCTCGATGTCCGGGCCTCCTTACACTTACGCACCCTGTCCAGCCCCCCGGCCGGGGGCATAAAAGCTCCAGTCCCGGTTCCGATCCGGGATTCGGATGCTCCCTTCGGCCTCGGCCTTGGGCCGAGGGGGCTGCGGCGAGAGAAGCTGGGTAGGGCAGTGATGTCATCTGCGGCTGCCCCTCCCCCGCCTGCTGGCCCTCGCCGCAGTTCCTGCCCAACGACATCCGGGTCTCTGCAGCTGCTCCGCCGCGCCGCAGCTGTAGCGGCCGCCCAGCCCGCGGGGCGGGGCGGACAGAAGAGTCGGGGAGGGGCCGCACGGCGCCTTCGTGAGCGCGCCTGCGCGGGGACGCGCTCGAGGCGGCGGCGGCGCTAGGGGCGGGAGCGCGCGCGGGAGCGAGGGAGCAGTGGTCTCGGCGCCGGCCGGGCCCGCAGCTCCGGGTGCTCGGGCGGCTGCAGCGCCGGAACGGGTGGTTGGGGAGGGGGGGTGGGGGGGCGCCAGGCAGGTGGGGCGCGAAAGCGATGAGTCTTCGGCTCTTCCTCCTCCTCCTCCGGGACCCGCTCTCCGCCTCCCGCTCCAACGCCCGGATGATCTGAGCCGCGAGGGCGCCGAGAGCCGGGGCCCGGACGCAGCCCGGCTCCTCCCCTCCTCCGCCCCCTCCCCCGGCCTGACCTGGCCGGCAGCCGCCGCGGTGACCCCCTTCCAGCCCCCTCCCCGGCCGCCGTCGCCGCCGCTGCCTTGGCCGACCAGGGACCTGCCCGCCCGCGGCTGCTCCGGGTAAGCGCGACGCTCGGGCCGAGGGCGGGCGGGCGGGCGGGCGGGCCTGCGCGGCGGCGGTGGCGGCCAGGCCTGGGCCTGGGGCCTGTAAACAAGCCGGGCGTCTGCCCGGGCGCTCCCGGGAGGAGACACGACAACTCCACCCCCTGGCCCGGCCTCCTCCCCGAAGCCGGGCGGCGGGCCGCAAGGGGTTAACGCTCAGCGAGGGCGGTGGCGGCGGGGAGGCGGGGGCGGGGTGTTGGTGGCGGCGGCGGCGCGGGGAGGGGGCGCGACCCTCCCGCCGCCGACGCCCGGCGAGTGTGTGTGGCCGTGGCGCGGGCGAGGGCCCCAGGGCAGCCTGGCCCGAGAACGGCGGGCGGAACTTTTCCCGAGCGAGGAGTGGGGCGTCGCGGCGCCCCCTCCCGCAGGGCCGCCCAGGGCTCCAACCCCTGGGACGGAGGCCTGGAGGAAGAAGGGGGTAGGCTTCCTTTGGACCGGACTTGGCCTCGAGGCTCCAAATTCTGGAGGATTTGCTTCAGGGTCTGAGCTGAGAGTGAGGCTCCTTAAGAACTCAAGTCGGTGATACCTGCAGTTCATTCATTATTAAGGCATCGAACAAATCCATTGAAGTAAATCACACTGATTTCTTGTATTTTAACTGTGTGAATTGTGTGATGAAGTTCTTAGAGTTCGGTGGTTGAGGTATGGTTCTGTTGTGCTTGTAGATTTAAATATTCTCTTGAAAGACAAGCTGGCTGTGGAGAGCCTTCTACCAACCGCAGTTTAGATACGTTTTGAAAATTTCATCACCTGAGGTATTTTTCCTTCTCCCTTCTCAAGCGCCGCATGGTACTTACAAATCCACAAAGGTCATACTTAAGTTGTCCAAGCCAAGAAATACATGCGCCGCCCCCATCCCCACCCCTGAATTTTCTGCAAGTTGCACTAATGAGCGTAATGAATTTTATGAAGGGATTGAAAGAGTGATGGGAGGTGTAAAAATCAATGGGATATAGGTATTACTTTTCCAGAGTAGGTGATTTTGACATTATTGAAAGAAATTAAAAATTTCAAAAATTGTTCTGGAGGAAGAGGCTTAATCTTTTCAGACTTGCATGGTGGAATTTTAAACACAATCAGTTTTTAGATGCAAAGAGCTCTGAAAAGTAAGGGGGTATTTATTTATTTAAATGGTACTCTGCTGAGCCATAGGGGTTCCAGAGCTCATAGGTGTTCAGCAGGGCTTACTCCCCAATTCCTCTTCAACTGGAACAATTTCACTATTACAACTTTTATATTTTTTACATACTGGGTCTTTTACAAATACTGTATTTCTGTAACACTTTACAGATTAGAAAATTGATTAGGAAGGTGGTGACCCACCCCACTGCCTATTTTCTAATCATAGATGTTACCCTTGATTTAATGTTTCTTTGTCAGTAAATAAGTTGAAGCACAAAGTAACATTCCTTGCCTGATGTTGTAGTTCTGTTCTTATGTGTGACTCTTGTATATCTGAATAAACATTGAATCATGTAGAGATGATTACTTTTAAGCTGCAAGTTGCTGCAGTGACACATTATTGAAACTGTAATGAGAAGTGCACATGGAAGTTACTGAAGACGTTTTTGATTTGATATCATTTTTCACATTAGTGAAGTAATTTGTTAGGGAGAAGTATATAAGAGCAGGAAGCTTGGCTAGCTACCTCAGTATATATTTGCAAAGTAACAGGCTTGAATGCTAGTCATTAAAATGTCTTTTTTAGGGGCACCTGAGTGGCTCAGTTGGTTAAGCTTCTGACTCTTGCTCTCAACTCAGGTCTTGATCCCAGGGTTGTGAGTTCAAGCCCCTCCTTGGAGGCTATGCTGGGCATGGAGCCTGCTTTAAAAAAGTGTTATTTTCTTTTTTGGTGGAAATTTACATAAATTTCTTTAGACATTCTTTTTTTTTTTTTTTTTTTTTTTAACACAGGTTGTATCTTTTTATATTTCGGTTTGAAGAGCTAGAGTGATGACCATAATTACAGTATAACCTGTTGAAGGGAACATTGTACTCGGAGATAAGAATTGTTTAGTCATGGCTGTGCTCCAAAATAGCTGTGTCCATGGACAAGTCCTTTTTAACTGTTTGAGTCTCAGTTTACAAATCAGTAAAGCATAGTGGTATACTGTATTATCAAATGCATGTCCAGTTACTAAATTTTCTTACTCAGTTAACACTGTCTATTCAGTATGCCTTGACCAAATGCCTAGTATATGTCAGGCACTTAGATGTTTCAGCTAAATCTGCATGTTATTTAAAAGTAAGTGTCTTCCTTAAAAGAATTTTAAGGTGATAATTGATCTTTAGGGATGATACTCCTGTAGATAGGCTTTATTGATTTTTCTGTTGGGATTGGGAAGTCTAGAAAAACTCTTGGGAGGAAGAAGGATGGGGATTCCACAAGAAATAAAGGGTGGATGAAACTGCAGGTTTGAACAAGCACAGGACCCTTCGTAGTTTGATGTGAAGGGCATTATAAGAACACATTATGAAGAAGTTTCTGTGAGTTCAAGCTGGGTCTTGCTTATCTTGACTTGTTAATAAACCTTTGTCTGAAAATTTGTTTCCTAATGCCTAATTTTTTTCAAAGAACTCTATAGCAACATCATGTTGTTACATGGTAAACATTGCTAAGCAGTTACCAAAAACTTAAAACAGTCTTTGAATTTGTTCACATTATGCTTACACTATTTATTATAGTAGCTAATAGAATGTGTAGCTGATTTTGGCTCAGCTGTGAATGCTGATTTATTTAATAATTTAAAACTGAAGACTGACATATGTCCACAGGGAGCTTGTTGTCCCTGAAATGCTCACCCATGAGAGCTGAATTAATTTCTTAAAGTGTAAGTCTGTGATAATTAGAGGGTGATATTTTGATGACCTCCCCCCCATGATTATCTAACTCTTGCCTGGGCACCTCACTCTTGAGTGGTACTGTAAAATAATCTACGGATTACTTTCCATCCTTAGATCAAAGAAGGGAGGCAGCCAAGTAAGAAAGTCGGCTGAAGTGGAGTCCTATAAGAGTTAAACAAGAAGTGGGGCTCCTGGGTGGCTATGTCAGTTAAGGGTCTGCCTTCTGCTCAGGTCTTAATCCCAGGGTCCCAGGATAGAGTCCTACATGGGGCTCCCTGCTCAGTGGGGAGCCTGCTTCTCTCTCTCCCACTCCCCTGCTTGTGTTCCCTCTCTCACTGTGTCTCTCTCTGTCAAATAAATAAATAAAATCTTAAAAAAAGTTAAGATAAAACAAGGTGTGGCCTGTGAAATATGTGGACCTTGGGTGAGGGGAAGGTGTGAGGCAACTAGGTAAAATTTGCACCCTCCTGTACCTTTGGTGGTAACTTTATGCCAGAATGTGTTCCTTCATTTCGAATAATGTTGGTGACAAATTTTTAAAATTCAGTTGCTTCATTTATTATTGCACTGTTAGCCAAGAAATTCCCTGAATTTCTAGCAGGGATTACTAACCACCCTTATTTACATAAAAGAAGCTTGGGTTAAATTTATATAAAAATCAAAAGGTTGATTATATTCTTCTTTTGCTTTCTTTTTTTTTTTTAAGGTTTTATTTATTTATCTGACAGCGAGGGATCACAAGTAGGCAGAGAGGCAGGCAGAGAGAAGGGGAAGCAGGCTCCCTGCTGAGCGGAGAGCCCCCCCAGGGCTTGATCCCGAGCCCAAAGGCAGAGGCCTAACCCACTGAGCCACCCAGGAGCCCCTCTTTTGCTCTCAAATGTACTTCATATTACACAAGTAACAATTTCATATTTTATTGAATCTACAGAATTTATTCCTTGATGATTTTGACCTTTGCATGTCCTAGCTATCTCTGTACTACCTAGATAATCTCTTTACCTAGCTTGTCTTTTGCTGAGGCAGGTAGGAGGAGCTAGAGAAAGGAAACGATTAAGAGAGGTGAGCTTCTGAATACCTTTATCTAAAATGTAATAGACTTTAGAATTTTTTTTAAAAACTGAGAGAAAAGTGCTAGATCTTAATGTGTATTAGTAAAGTAGACTACTGATACTGTGTTTACGAAATTAGAGGTGTCTTAAACATTCCTTGAATAATAAGGGAGGGAGCTTGAGTTTTTATAATTCTAAATATGTTTATTTGGAATCCATTGACCAAGTTTATGTACTATTCGTATTTAGGATCTGGATTGAAAGAATTTTTGTAGGTGATATGATTTGAATTAAAATCCTATGAGAACAAACTACTTCTAGATACAGAATAAAGATATAGTGAAAGTGTATTTTTTTTTTAAGGTTTTATTTACTTTTTCGACAGAGCAAGAGAGGGAACACAAGCAGGGGGAATGTGAGAGGGAAAAGCGGCTTCCCACGGAGCAGGGAGCCGGTATGGGGATCGATCTCAGGATGCTGGGATCATGACCAGAGCCCAAGGCAGACACTTAACAACAGAGCCACCTAGGCGCCCCAAAGTCACAGTGTATTAACCATTTGTCAGGCTTTAATTTTCCCCACAACCCTCTAAAGTATATGATGTTATTTCTCTTTTACAAGTGAAGAAATATAGACTCAGAGAATCTAAGTTAACATGCCAAGATCAGAACTGTGTAGATATGAAGTTATTTTCAAAATATTCCTGAGTGAATTTTTCCCAAATAGATTATCTTTCTTGTTCCTAGGAATCAAAAAATTGAGAATCTGAATGTTAACACTAAGATTCAGATTCCTAGAATTAAAAGACACCTTATAAATTTATGTATAAATTAAGTCTTTATATATAATTTATGTATAAATTAAGCCTTCCAATGTTTCAGTCTCTTCTGAAACATTCCAAAAAGATTTAAGAAGTTCCTGGAGTTCATTTTCTCATTCCCTAAAGTTTCCGAAGTCAGCAGAGCTAAACAGTTTTATGTCTTCAACTATCATTGTTTAAATTGAGGAATGAAATCAATATTAAATTCTCAGATGGTTGATGTCCTTAATGAAGGACTAAGAGTAATGTTCTAAGTACATACATTAAAGGCTTTAGAGAGGAGGTGATAAAATTTCCTAGTGGGGTGATTTTGGACAAGCTCCTCGATTTCGCTAAGCCTCATATTTATCTGTCTTATGGGAAAGCCTTTCTCATAAGGTATTCTTTTTTTTTTTTTTTTTAGATTTTATTTATTTATTGGAAACCGCATGAGAGGGGGAAGGATGAGAGAGAGAAGCAGACTCCCTGCTGAGTAGGGAGACCTTTGCAGGACTAGATCTTGAAACTCCAGGATCATGACCTGGGCCAAAGGCAGTTGCTTAATCAACTGAGCACCCAGGCGCCCCTTATAAGGTATTCTTGAAGATTAAGTGAAATGATTGTGTAAAATACTTGATGTTTTCTACCATGAAGAAAGTACTAAATAAATAGTAGCTGCTTTTGAGTTTGTGAAATCTTGAGATACAGGAATAGAAACAACAGAGTGTGTGTCTTTGAGTACAGTTTTAGCAGTGAGCCTGGAAATCATACTGTAAGAGATTGGGTAGAGACTTTAGAAGTTACAAAGGTTGTAGGCATATAGAATTTATAAATAAAAGTTAAACGTTAAGAGGTAGTGGAAGAGAAAGTTGAATTTGAGCAGCTTTATTTGACTGTATGAAGCTAGAGAGGTGATTGGTTTGTAGTTAATTGTTAGGTGGGAAGAGATGGTTAAATAGAGGATAAAGAGTAATAAAAGCAAAGGTGAATGTTCAGACTAGAATGATGAGTAAGTGAAGAAAGACAAGGGTTGGTATTTTGAAGAGAAGTTACAGTTTGTGAT